ACAGTCACAAACTTTGTTGTTAAAAGTTTGCTGCCCTTTTCTACAGTAGAGGCTGCATGGTAGAGGTAAGTAAGCTGTAAAGGATATTATTGACCAGTTAAGCATTTATCTCTCAGCCTAGATAATGTTTTTTGAGCAAAAATAACAACACAACCATGTTATTGTTGATGTTTTGTGTTCTAATGTCAATTAGGGAGATGATAAGAGCCCTAAACTTCAGAGAACAACAGAGAAGAGGTGGACAGGTGTCTTTATGCAGCTGACGACCTCAAACAGCTGCTTCTAATTTAGAATAAGTGGAGGTGGACTTTTTAGAGGTGGACCAACAGGTCTTTTGAGGGCCAGAACTGTTGCTGATTGACAGGTGTTCAAATAATTATTTACAGCAGTAACACACAAATAATTATTTGTAAAAATTCATACATTGTGATGTCCAGATTTTTTTTTTTTAGATTATGTCTCTCACAGTGGACATGCACCTAAGATGAAAATTTCAGACCCCTCCATGATTTCTAAGTGGGAGAACTTGCAAAGTCGCAGGGTGTTCAAATACTTGTTTTCCTCACTGTATTTTAATGGGATGGCCGATGTCCGATATTGAAATTTAATGTTAATATTGGCCGATACCGACACCATGCCGATAATATCGCGCATCCCTAGCATCGATATTATCGATATTTGGATCGGTCCACCCACCACTGGTGGAGACCCCTGAAGAGGGAAAAGCTGAAAGAAGATGATGTAAAGATTTAAAGGTGTCTTTAGTGTTTACCTTTGAGGGACTGTACAAAATTCTCTGACAGCTGGTTTGGTTTTCTGGTTCTGAGTGAAGACGGGGACTGTCTGAAGGTCCTCTGTTGGAGGACCAGAGTCCAGAGTGCTGGGACTACGGGTCAGCGCAGACATCAGTTGAGCCTCTGTGTTTGAGGTCGGGAGCACCTGAGAAGAAGACAAAGCCAACTCATTTTCTGTATAAAAATTACTGATACCTCACATTAATCCAAACATCAGCGGACTGCTGACCTCGTCCTCAACACAACCTGATGGACACAGACTGACACGCCTACCTGTGAGTGAGTGCAGGTGTCCCCCTCCTGAACATCTGTGTTGTTCAGAGGTTTAACAGCAGCCACAGCAGAACTTTCTGACCCTCTTGTCTTCGGACCCGGCTTTATCACAGACGGTCTCACGTTCAGTTTAGGCCGCACTAAAAGCAGACAAGACAAATCGGACTGAAACTCCCACAAACCCAATGACCTCTGGACACAGTAAAGGGATAATTGTGATGTTTGGAGTCAAGAGGAACATCAGACAGAAGGTTTGATCTGAACCGAGACCAAAGCAGACTCCCGACAGTCAGAGCGAGTCCATCTGCTGGAACCTGCTGACAAAGTGAGTTCAAACAAACGAATAAATAAAACTAACGCAGATAAAAACATGTTTTTACCTGCGTTAGTTTCCAGGTTTCAGATGCTCCATTAGACCATTACAGACTCAGTGTTCGGTGTAAACTCTTGGAAACTTCACTTTGAAGTTGTTTTTAAGTGACAGCAACCTACTTCAGAACTGAGTCCAACCCGAGAGAACTTCTGTCTGATGATGTCTGCTGCAGGTGAGACACTCATTACAGCAGTCCCTCGTTTATCGTGTGGGATACGTATCCTGAAGCCCCGCGATAAGTGAAAAACCACCAAGTAGGAATAGTAGTATAAGTAGTAAGTAGTAGTTTATTTTAACATATATCGTATATATTAGGGGTGTAACGGTACACGTGGGTGTACTGAACCGTTTTGGTACATCGTGTTCAGTTCGGTCCACGTCTAACTTATTAACTAACGGACTTGAAACAACATCATCCGAAGGTGAACGTCTCTTCTACAGAGTAGCAGCTTGGTGCAAAGAGCGATAGCAGCAGCATTTAAACAACCTTCATCAGGTAATTAATTCAGATCCGTCCAAAGCAACAACCCAAGCTGTAGGAGATTTTAAAGCCCCGGATCTACGTTTCTGTTGTCGATG